CGCGGGGCTGGCGCCGCCCCCGGCCGCGCCGCTGTCGGCCCCGCCCGCGCCGCGCCCCGCGTAGTGCGCGCCCTCTGCAGCACTCGCGCCTTTCTGTTTCACTAACATTAATATAACGTCTTTCTATTGAATAATAGTCTAACGACGTATAGGAAAACCTTGCGTTCAAAGTCAGTTTAACAAATCTTGTTTGCCCTTAGTTCCGACTAGTACTCACGGTGAGCGTGGACATACTTCGTCCGTGCCACTCTAACTATGTAGTCTCGAAGTACGAGTAGTGCCCGCGAGGCGAGTGCTCAGTAGGTACTACATGTCCCACCACTCACATGGTCTGCTTTTATGCATCAAATATTCAACTGTTTTAAAGGATCTCAACAATTACTGAATCAACTGCTTATTGTAAGTAAGCTGTAATCTAGCAAGTTGTTTAGGTCGTAAGAGTATTTTTGCACATAATGCAATTTACGCCTGTATCAAATAACTGGTATTCTACATTATCAAATAGACTAATTTATTGTTATTCATAAGTTCTTAGATAATCGTTAATTATTTACTTACAGTATTATGTATTGCTTTATGCTTACCTAGTTATTAAAGTATTTTAATCTAATTTTCCATAAGATGTACCCTGCAATGTGACCATTTTCTGATGTATCAAGCAAGTAACATATAAAAGGGATTGGTTAGATTATATGAAGAGGCCTGAATGAGTAACGTCGCCAGTTCCACTGCACGCGTTTTCATATCGGAAGCAGACCAGGTTATTTTCATATATTCATACAGTTGTTATTTTTATATTAAAAACACTATAATCTATTACACAAGTCCATATTCCTTAATGAGACCTTCGGCTTGTGGAGCCGCATTGTCCTGCTCTTAGCACTATCACCAATGGAATGAGTTTTATAATTGAGTGTTATTACTGAATGTCTATCAAATGAATATTAGTTTTATGAATTAAATTGTTCGTGTTCAATCCTGTTCATTTGCAGTTTAAACGAAAACCAAGTTGATTAAGACTGAATCTCAATAGGTCGATCTCATACATTTATATTCTCTAGTGAGTCAAATAATCAGGAAATCGTTTAGAGTGCGAATGTATGGGAGCCCTGACAGTGACAGTGATGACAATATTGCACAGAGGTAGGAGTATCTGGAGCACACGCTCGTATAGCTAGTCAAGTTATTGTTTTAGTTGATTGTACTGTCCATGTGACTTAATATTATTTTAGAGAACTAATTATACACAAATATTATTAATGTATGACAATGTGTTTATCATATTTTATATAGGAAGTGTAAAATAGATCACTGGCCTCTTTAAGCTGTTTTATTTGCACCTTTTTACATTTATGCAGGTATTGGTGAATATTACAACATAATTATGTACATTACACATGTAACATTGTTAATACACATATATAATAAAGAAGCTTTGAAAAAACTAATGACAATAGATTACCAACCTGTGACCCTCATATACTGCTAACTGGTTTGGCCAATAAGTAGCTGATCATCAATACCAACAACATTGTGTTGTTAAAAGATAAAATATTAAAAAAAAAAGAGCAACAAGTGGTGATTTAACAGAGGTAACATGAATGAAACTAGAGAATATAGTTGAGCAACTATATTAGTTCCCACGACTAGTGCGGGCACCTGTCTGTGCCTGTGTTGCGGGCTCACTCTGTGGCTGCGTACCATTGTACACTGTACATGCTTCATGTCTGCTGGATGTTACGCTCTCACTGCTTCTCTGTTACTGTCAGCTTTGTGTTTTTCTTCATTTTCTGCCTTCAACTTTTCCTGTAAATACAATAATATTTACCATTAGGTACTTAAGAACTCAGGCAGATAATTTTTATACCTATCAATATTGTTAAGGTTAAATTACTTTACTTAATAGCATTATTTGTATATCTATTAGGATGTTAGTACACTGAATGACTTGTTCATAAAATAAGTCATTACTTAAGTGAGCTGGTTACGAGAACAGTGGAATAACGAATACTAACTACATCATAGATAACCCTAACCACCAGTGAGCAGCTTGGACAAGTTGCAAGTTCCTCGCCATCCAGCAGCTCCTCCTGCAACAATGCACGATATCACATAGTTCATTTACTTATATGTTAAACTAGTATAAAAAAAAGAATACCACATGACAAGATAACCCTACGTCTCACAACTATTGAATATTGGATATGTCGGCTCTAAAGTAAATACTAACCTTGCTTATTTGAAACCTATCGCCACAGGGACAGGGATAGTAATACATATTTTCATCTTCCTCATATTCGAAGTCCTCAATTTCTATTTCATCATGAAATGTCGTCATTATTTACGTATTTCACAGTCATATTCAATCACTAGATTAATATGGAAATAAAACAATGATTCCTCGTTCCTCGATCTGTCAATAAGTCAGTAGTGTCACTGTCAACAATAATGTCAATGTCAGAAAATTAAGATGTATAAAATCAAAATTCTGTGTTTGTGGTCACAAACACGCTGCCACGCTGCTTAATCAAAATTAAAATTAATAATGAAATAACCCTTTTACTCTAAACCTTTTGAAGCCTTAATTTTCAATCATTTTCTTTATGGAATAAGCCGGCAAACAAGCAGATGGATCTTCTGATAAACACCAGAGGCGTTACAATAAGGACATTGCCGGTTGCCGGCCTTTACGGGGTTAGGCTTTTGAGGATTTTTAGAAATTCTGGGACGGGTGCTATTGGAGAGATTATGGACGTATGAGACCAATTCGACCAGGATTGTATCAAACTATCACAATATCCATTATTAGTCCCAAAAAGGCAATAAAATCTGAAACTGACAGACTATTATTTATTTTGTATTTGTTGACGTTTCAAAAGTACCAAACTATGGTTTAATTGAAATAAATGCTTTGACTTTGACAGTGTTTCTTTTTGAAATCAAATTAGTTGGTAAGGAAATATTAAATTCCTCTACATCTATTTTAATGCGAACGTGTAAAACTCATTAACTTAAATGTATATTAATTTAAAGGATGGGGTTAAAATCTATTCTGGTCTAATTGAGAAACTTATTTGATAATAAAACGTGTTTATATTACAATCTGTGGTCACGTCACTTACGTATGACATGTCTCTCACGTCACAGTCACGTCACACGTCATTTGACATTTTATTTCTGACCGACGGGGGAAGATCATGCTCGTTTCATCATATTATTAAAATAGTTGCAAAAGTATTTTAAAGTGTTACAGTGAGTGTCCTAGTGCCTGTGACATCCCATTTATTATCTTTATTGAACAAATTGACAGCAAAATGTTCAGTTGGCTAAAGAAGGAAGGTGAAAAATCCGAAAGTATCGAAAATGTCGTGGAGGGTCTTAAAAGAATATATAAAACAAAACTTTTACCCTTGGAGCTTCATTACCAGTTCCACGATTTTCATTCACCGCAGCTCGAAGAACCAGATTTCGACGCCAAACCTATGATTCTGCTCGTTGGTCAATACTCCACCGGTAAAACTACATTCATCAAATATCTCTTGGAACGGGACTTCCCGGGTATAAGAATAGGTCCTGAACCTACTACCGACAGATTCATCGCCGTGATGTATGATGAAAAGGAAGGAGTGATACCTGGCAATGCACTCGTCGTAGATCCCAAGAAACAGTTTCGCCCCCTAAGCAAGTTCGGTAATGCATTTCTGAATCGGTTCCAGTGCTCAACGGTTAGCTCGCCAGTGCTGAAGGGCATCTCCATCGTGGACACACCCGGCATCCTGTCGGGAGAGAAGCAGCGTGTCGACCGCGGCTATGACTTTACAGGTGTGCTAGAATGGTTCGCCGAGCGCGTCGACCGCATCATTTTACTGTTTGACGCACACAAGCTCGACATATCAGATGAATTCAGACGCAGTATTGAAGCTTTGAGGGGGCATGATGATAAAATTCGTATTGTTCTGAATAAAGCTGATATGATTGATCACCAGCAGCTGATGCGTGTTTATGGTGCTCTCATGTGGTCACTAGGCAAGGTGCTGCAGACACCTGAGGTGGCCAGAGTATACATTGGTTCTTTTTGGGACCAGCCCTTACGCTACGATGTGAACAGGCGATTGTTTGAGGATGAAGAGCAGGATCTCTTTAGAGACATGCAGTCCTTACCACGAAATGCTGCTTTGAGAAAACTGAATGACTTGATCAAAAGAGCTCGCCTTGCCAAGGTTCATGCATACATTGTCAGTGAGCTAAGGAAAGAAATGCCTTCTGTCTTTGGAAAAGATGGTAAAAAGAAGGAATTAATAAAGAATTTGGGTCAGGTGTATGACCGCATCCAGAGGGAGCAGCAAATATCACCTGGTGACTTCCCAGACATTAAGAAGATGCAAGAAACTTTGGCTAACCATGACTTTACCAAATTCCATCCGCTGAAACCCAAACTGCTTGAAGTGGTGGACCATATGCTGGCCACGGACATTGCTCGCCTCATGGACATGATTCCGCAGGAAGATGTGAACATTGTGTCCGAGCCACTTATCAAAGGTGAGTCTTATTCTACTTATATTAGAGGTGTGTTGCTCTCAAGTGGAGAGCTGTGGAGTATTCACACAATTATTATAATAGTCAATTCTCACTTGACTTTTAGTCCATAACGACTTTCTTAGTCATTCTGATAAAGTTTGCAGGTTTTACAGGTGTGGTTATCATTCATATTGTTATATGGAATAGCTAATAAATAATTTTAAATTAAACACAATTTGAATGCCTGAAATGCATGACACATTTTTGTGAAGCATTAGTAATACAATACACGTTGTTGTATTGTACTAAACCTATCACTATTGGCAACTACTATGCTGACTGAGCATGTGCCTACATTTATTTTGGTTACCTAAATTACTGGAGGTAACTTGTATTCAAAATGATGATAGCCATAATAGTGAGTAGTGTGTTTATAGTTAAATCATTTTATGAAGAGTACAAATCTAAGTAATGTACCGAGCCAGTACCATATTACATGTTGTAGGCACCTACTATCTCAAGATATTGACCTGATTTCTTATCAGAATGATAACACTTTGCCAGGAATTTACTGACATAATTGTAACTGTGCTAGGCAAGCTCTATTATTAGAACTTATTCAATTATTATGTCTGACCTCATGATTTGGAAATACATTGTGGACAGAGCAACTTCCTTAAACATATTATATGTGTCAGTGCCACTACATTGATGTGTCCCCGGATAAATATATTTATGGCCATCAATTTATTTTCAAATTATATTGTTATGCCACCATTTTTATAATTTGCATGCTTCAAGGTGTAATTTGGTCGGAACTATATCTACTTATCTGCTAACAACTTAATTTACCCATGTTAGCAAGAAATTATTTAATTGCATTTAGAGTAATTAATGGCTGCTACAATCATCAATCTATTCATTCTATGTCTCAATTTTTGTTACACTTTCTTTACAATTTCTTATGAAACTTCCTCGAAATGTTTTCCAATTTGTAGATTTCATTTAACTTCACAACAAATAAACATTAAGCTAAAACAAAAGCTACTTTATGATTTTTAAGTACCTATATTATTTTATAATGTACACACAAAGTGATTCATTTAGTTTTGCCTCAATACTCGATACATACAAAAATGCGTTCACGTTAGTATTCAGTATGAATCATTGCGTATTTTAACTCGTCGAGTACCGGTTTTGTAGACATAATTATAGAACAATAGGTTGCGGTCACCGGTGACCGCTTGGTGTTTGACAGTTTAATAAGCATTATTTGAAAAATATCCGGATAATGTAGGTAATTACGAAATAAAATCATTGCAAAATATAGCCTTGTAGGTGGTTGGTCGTACTAAGACGGTGCGCGGTGTCGCGATGTGAACAGCGGCGCGCGTCTCGACTACTTGCATTCAACTTGAACCAATTGAACCTTGGAGAAAGTGCCGATGCCACTGCTGCCAATTTGCTTCACATTTTAAACATTATTAGTCTACTGTAAATGTAATCTGGTAATCTGGTAGCATTGGTAACACTATCAAATTATGCTTGTTTGATCCGTTCGCGTAAGTCTTATCTGATCCGTCTGACCGTAGACATTCAGACGTTTACACAATCGTGAAGTCTGGACCGACGACCGGGACTATGCGGCACTAGATTGTTTTTTTTTTTTTTTCGATGTTTGATGCCTTGATGATGGGCTGTATTCATCATGAACTACATACCTAGATATTGGTCTTGGAGTAGTTAGCGCCGCGTCCGCGTCAGTTAGCAATTGACCTCTGACTCATACATTGGGCAGCCGATACGATCGCGTTCACTTGAATTATTTATTAGCATCATGTTTACTGCCTCAATATCGTTTCAAGAGATTTTATGCCGTCTTTTGTTTTCAATTCTACTAGACGTACACACTTCCATGTGCCTACCATCTGATTTTTACAATAGTTAGTAGTCACAGTTACCTATGAGTGTTAGACTAACAACTTGTGACGAGCACTAGCAGCTCCCAGTCGCCTTCACCGTATTACACTTAGGTGACATCTCGGCTCGGGGACAAGGTCGAGCTGAATACCAGCTACTTATTTCTTACGACCGTATCTAATGTGTTATCAGCAGATAATGGTGCTACTATGCCCTGTAAACCGTGCGAATGAATCGAGCGGTACGACAATTGTCACTTATATTATTCGCTTGGTGCAGCGAATAACAACGACTTGTTAGTAGGAAGTTAGTCCCATTCCCATTTGAGACACAACGGCCAGAAATGGTACCTAGTTCCTATTGACGAATTGGTGCAAGAAAATACCTTTTAAAAAGTGGTTGTCCTGTAGACGGGTTTTGGGCATAATGGAGTTTAGGGACATATTTAGGTTAGGTTATTGAGTTATATGTCGCATTTGTTTCAGTAATGGCACGGAGTCTGAAATAGTGCACAGTATATTAAGGCTATAGGCTCAAAATCATTCTTTATTACCTAGTCCTGAACTCCTGAAAACAACTAGTAAAAAGTGACTGTTACATTGTATAGACGCGGACCTCTGTCTGTCTCTTCGGCGGTTAAACATTAAGACATTATTATGAGGGAATTCAGGCAGGATACGATGAGGTCAGTCACCTGTCAGTGTCACCTCCACATGGCATTTGATGGTATGCATATTGTCGTAGCGAGGCATGGCCCTGAACAATATGACCGCGCACAAACCTGTAATTTGTTGACGTTGTACCTTAGTGAAGCAATCAATATGAAAAACACGTTACGCAATCGGCATGTAGTAATTGTTATCTGCTGCGCCAGCGTTATCATGCCACTAATCTGTTCGCTGACACCGCCCAGTGTCACTGTATGTATGTACACATACCCGTAGTACCTACAGTGAATTGCTAAATGTGTTGTTATCTCGGCTATCGCATCGTATTATATCACACCGCACCGTATCAGCACCCAGCACTCAGCCGGTGCCGAGGCTCCACCGCTCGCTCGCCAGCGTACAGTGGCACACAGTCCCAGAATCTTTCAAATCTTTTTCTTTGTACTGTAGTGTGCGTCATCAGTCAGTTAGTCATCGCTAATGAAACTAAGTAGGTTTATAATTTTGCGATACACCGTTACTGAATCAGCAATCATTGCATGTTCGTACTACGTGATCATATCCATAGGCTTGTTGTGACGATTCCGACATTATTGATTTTATTTTCATAACCTTCGCTTGACCATTAAGCCCGCGGCCGAAGGGTAATTATTGCAGCTAATGCCTAAGTATTATTATTATTCGGAATTAGTAATAATAACCAGTTTCCTTGTTAGGGTTAAGAGTCAATCTAAGTGAAGAACATCTGGCGAGGTGAAACCCCTGTCTTCCAAATATCACGCGATTCTGAATGATTAGACATCCGGTTATATGCATCTTTGCATATGCGAATGCTATTTTATAGTATCAATTGATACTAAGCGACAAACGTCACAAATTTGCTTTAAAAAACCTGGAATAATATTGTATTAAACGAGAATATAAAATATATTACATAAAACCATAACAAATGAGTGATGTTCGTTTTGGTTTCCTGCAGCATTTATCTGTAATTATAAAAATGAATTGCTAAATGTGTTGTTAAGCGCAAATCTCGGGTTTGTCATTGTTAGGAGGTGCTTATGAAAGAAAAACAATTCTAAAGCGAAATATAAGTCGCCCGCCCTGTCCGCTAGTAAATTTCTAATTATTATTCAAAATCGTTGTTTTATTGTGCATATTTTGCCGTTTTTAGTGCATATTTGCAGGCATATGTTGGCATTTTGATAGTGCATATAAGCTGATATCGAATGATGAGTAACTAAAATAATTGTTGTATGTTATGTTGTGTGACCCAGTGACAATTTCTGCGAGGCAGCTAGGTGTTTAATGCATGAGATTCTACATGTGGAATCGAAAGTTGTTTAAGTTTAATCGCAGAGTACAACTGCCTGCATCGAGGCTTGAACCCTACCACCATACGCTAGCTGCCTGGCCACTCAGACTCAGGATCAGGACTCACTAACTTTGATGACGACAGACTCGGTCAATGCGCCGTATGCGCATGCGCATGCGTAAGCTTGATGAATGATGACTAACTTGTGTTAATACGGAAACATTATTAGGGACACGCCGACTCGACAAGTTTAACAAACTGTCGGTCACTGTTCGCACTACTCACTCCAGAACTTTGTGTTCAGTACGACCGTACGAGTAACTACTGAGAGTTAGCTACTGGAGCTGGGGAGTGGCATGACGTCCACGTGCGCGTGCGACTGAATGAAACATTCAGTGTTACATCAATTCAATCAATTGTCATTATCATTGACTAGATCAATGTGACATGTATTTCGTTTCGGTGTCGCGGAATGAGTTGCCGAACTACCGATACTCAATACCTACAAGCGGCAATGGGAGCGCGACCAGCCCCGAGTGCGACGCGGCGCCACTTTCGCCGCACTCGTTAGTCTAGATTAATCATGATTACAATAGAAAATGGGCATGAGCCACGCTTACTAACTCACTGCGGTAGCGTAGGTACTTGTAGTCGGCTCGCACCGCATGACTATTGCTTTATCCATTCGTTGTTAGTGACCTAGACATTCGGTTGTAACTTGTGTGCTAGAATTGAAGGCGACTTAACCACTACACTTGATAAAGACTTATTGAGTATTACCGCTTTTTGAAATGTAGTATAAATATCTATAGCTGTAAAAATATAAAACTCATTGCATAATATAATTCGGTCTTCAGTGCTGTGGTGTTGTAATGTAATGCAATGTTTGTAACTCGAGTAGTTTTACTTTTGGTTCACTAACCAAACATTCTAGATTCGAAATTCCGATGGGTTGGTGTGGGTATCATATCAGCGGTGCATCGGCATTGGCACGCGTCGCGTCGTGGGCAAATCGCATGTGCCTGCGAGGAAGTGTCGCAAATCGGTGCAACGCAACAATAACGTCGCTTCCTGGCCACACATAATTTGAAGTTACGCAACTATGCAAGTTATTTATT